TGTCCTTGAACCATATATTGTGTTCCTGCCTCATTGGTTTGTCATGATCAGTTTAATGAGTTGCTCTAGCTTTTCTCAGGGTGCCTGTAACTGTTTATTAACTTGATTTTTTTCAGAGGTATTTTGTTTTTTTGCTTTAACAATGTATTTGTAAGTAAATTCATACTTAACATTTACAAAAGTGAAAATGTAGACCAATCACACCCATATAGCTTCTACCTAGATTTACCTGTGGTATCATTTTACCCTTTTGCTTTATCATTTATGCTCATGTTTTTTTTCTCTCCATATAATTTACGTGTGTGTGTGTGTGTGTGTGAAAACATGTATATTCATAATTTAAAAAATAATAATATCAGAAAATAGCCCAAATCTTGGGAAAGAGATGACTATCCAGGTATATGAAGCTCAAAGGACCCCAAGCAAGATCAACCCAAAAAAGATTATTCAAACACACATTATAATCAAAATGTTAAAAGTGAAAAACAAAGAGAGAATTTTAAAAGCATCAAGAGAAAAACAATTCATCACCACAAGGGAACCTCTCTAACGTCATCAGCAGATGTCTCTGTGGAAATCTTGTAAACCAGGAGGAATGGGATCATATATCCAAAGTGCTGACAGAAAAGAGCTACCAACCAAGAATACTATACCCAGCAAAACTGTCCTTCAGCCATGAAGGAAAGATAAAGATATTCTCAGACAAAACATAAGGGAGTTCATTACCACTAGACCTGCCCTACAAGAAATATTAAAGTGAGTTTTTCAAGTTGAAAGGACAATAAGTAACAACATGAAAACATATAAAAGTATAAAATTCAATGGTAAAGGTGAACATATAGTCAAATTCAGAATATCAGAATATCGTAATACTGTAATGATACTGTGTAAACCACTTTTATCTCTAGTGTACAAGTTAAAAACATATTTTAAAATAACTATAGCTACAATAATTTGTTAATGCATAATATAAAAAATGTAAACTATAACATCAATAGCATAAAATGTGAGGGGAGAAGTAAAAGTGTGGCTTTTGTATGCAAATGATGGTAAGTTGTTATCAGCTCAAAATAGTCTGTTATATCTTTAAGGTGTTTTATGTAAGCCTCACAACACACACACACACACACACACACACACACACACACACACACATTGTAGATACACAAAAGATAAAGAGAAAGGAATTAAAGCACACTACTACAAAAAAATAAATCACGGGCTGGCCAACTGGCGCAATGGTAAAGAACTGGCTTGGGACGCCAGAGGGCCCCGGTTCGGATCCCACATATGAGAGCCAGTGACACTGCCCTTCACAGCTAAGATGCTGAACAACAGCTCAACCTGGAGCTGGGCTGCTGTGGGTTGCTGGCGACGGCGACAGCGTAGGCTGCAGCCCCTGCTGAGTGGGTTGCCATGGGCTACCGTATGTAGCCAGCAGCCAGCGTGAGCAGCCAGCAGCCCCAGTGAGCGGCCGTCCAGAAGCCAGTGGCTGATCTGCCTCTCCCGGGAAGAGCACAATGATGGTGCCAACTTGGGCCAGTGAAGCAACGTCCTCCACAACTAGACTGAAGAACAAAA